TTTTTATATTTTTAATTTTGTTAGTTTTAAAAATGGAGCGAATGCACAAAAATACCCAAGGAAGACTAAATGTGTTCATCGGTCACAGTATGTTCTGTATTTTTGAGGGCGGGTGGGAAGGCATAGTGGAAAATGTGTCTGCAGGAGAATGAAATTTCCTGGCAGAAGGACATAGCTACCTACCTTCACCTTTAAACATGAGTTCAATATGGCAACATTTCTACAATTCCTGCTTGTTTCTTGCTATGTAAACTGAATGTGCTCCAGTTTTGCATGGCTTTCCAACTGGTTAGGCCATGGCATCCAGCATTTCATAGGTAACAACTAGGACATGGGTGGCAAAGCAGCATCAAAGTATGGTCAAGATGGTAAAAGGTATTAATGAGGAAGAAGACACATGCGAGGAGAGGCTGCGACATTTTGCTTTTGCCTGAGCCTACTGGGAAGGCCAAGATTCCACCTATTTCTTCTCTTTCTCCATTGCTGAGTCAACTGAGTGTAAATGATGTTTGCATTTTTCACTCAATTTGAAGCAATTGAAGTTAACTGAGGATGAAGGGGGGGAATGGGAAGAGGAGAGAGAAACTGGGACTTTTAAAAGTAGCTGAAAAAGTGGGGTGATGGAGGATTAATCAGGACTGACCCTGCTAAATCAGGATAGTTGGAAGGTATGTTAAATATTCCTTTGTTTTATTCAGTGTCAGATCTAACCCATTCCACAGCACTGGGTCTGGGAGCAATCCTTCAAATGTCCAGCTCATGCTCAACACTTCAAATAACCAGCTCATACTCAAAGCCAGCAATATATTGCCTCAACTGAAATATAAAGCATAATGCAATCCATATGTGTTGGACTATTTCATCTGGGCAGTGAAAAAAATATATATACCAAGGGTACATTTTGCAACAGTTTTGGAAAATGCTTCAACTTGAACTCTGGCAGCACTTGGATGAAAAGGAGTTCTCAGAATGTACAGCATGTCATCTGGATCGCTTTTAAAACTCATGCTGGTAAAAGGAATGCAAGATTGGCTCTCCTAGGAAATCCCTAAGGGAAGCTGAGATTGGCCGAGGCTACATCTGCACTGCAGAAGTAATGCAGTTTGACACTGCTTTAGCTGCCAGGGCTCAGTGCTATGGAATATTGTAGTTTGTTGTGGCACCAGAGCTCTTTGACACAGATGGGTAAATATATCATAAAACTACAACTCACATAGAACTTTCCCAGATCTCAGGATCTGACCACAAGACTCAGAGGGCAGACCTTCTTCTCCAATCCTCAGGGGGAGGAATCTCAGGATGTGAGTGCTGCCTTCAAAAGTGCATGTGTACATCTTTATTCCTCATTTTGGGACTTGGTGCTTTTTATTTGAACAGCACGCTTTGTGCAATTGCAGTTGACGCTTAAGTTATCACACTTAGTGACATCAACAGGAGCTACCATTTGTATCATTAACAGGGCCCAGGCCCTGTGAGTTCACAAGGGGTTCTCCCTAGGTTTCAAATTTTGGTCTTGAAATCCTATGGCCTGGGATTGTCCTGATCTTGCAACATTAGCTGTGGCCCATGCATAGTGCTCCATGTTTGTGGTAACAGCTTCCCAGAAACCTATACAAACTCCAAAACCTTTCAGAAACCTCTGCTCCCTGGCAGAGAAGGCCCTTGGTCACATTCTCACCAAATGTGCCCGTGAAGGTGATGAGAAAGAGACAAGTGCCTCCCCTGAAAATCTTAGAGCTTGGGTAGGCTTATATGGAAAGGTATGGTTCTTTAGAAAGCCTGGACTGAGTCATATAAGGATTCATAAGTCATAGCTAGCACTTTGAATTTTGCCCAGAAACAGACGAAATGATCTTCACAGTGCCTTCCAACTCTGTGATTCAATATCCCCATTACACAAACCTCTGCTTGGCTATTTCTCTGCCTTGTGATGAGTTTCAACAGAGCCGCTTGAGAGCCTTGAGCTGTATATGGGTTTCCATGCCCAGCACATGGACATCTTTCCAAATCCCTAGCCTTTGCTTGGCAGTATCTCAGTTGTGCTTCATGCCACTGTCACAAGGATCCAGAAAACTGTCATGTGGCACTCCATGCCTCCACAACATCATGTTGCCACATTGTGCAACTTGATCATCCTATGATGATGTGAGAGGTTTTAGAGTAGTCTTGTCTTGTTGTCCCTAACCTGGCATTGGATTACAAGTCCTATCAATGCAAGCCAGCATGTTATTTTAATGCAGAGGTGTGGAAAGAGCAGCCCATGGGTTGCTTAGGACCCAAGGCTCCCCCAAATGACTTTCATTTGCTTTATTATTGTGTTCCTCCACAAAGACTTTGGCCTGATTCCTATTGCTAATCCCAACCAGAGTACACCCATCAAATCAATAGGATTTACCTATGTGCTGACACACCATTCAGTAACTGAGTATCACACAGGTAGAAGCCTCCTTGAAAAGATGTAGATCAAACTCTGTTGCTTGCACGGCCTCTCGATCACACCCAGAACCTCTCATGTAGGGAGAGTTATCCCTGGATAAGGAATATAGCCAATGCACTATTTAAAATATCTGCAGAATGTGCTTCAGTGGTATGCAGGTAGGTGGCTTTAGGATACAGAACTTGGTAGGATCCTGGGAAGGGCAGCTATGAAAGAACTGGACCAGATCCTAAAGTGCAAAGATATAAAGCTGAACACTAAAGTAAGGATAATCCAAGGCATTGTATTCCCCATCACCATGTATGGATCTGAGAACTGGACTTTGAAGAAAGCAGATAGAAAGAAAATCAACTCATTTGAGATGTGGTGTTGGAGAAGAGTGTTGAGGATACCATGGACAGCCAAAACATCAAACAAATGGAGTTTAGAACAGATCAAACCTGAACTCTCACTGGAATCCAAAATGATTAAGTTGAGACTGTTGTACTTTGGCCACATAGTGAGAAGACATGAATCACTGGAAAAAGCAATAATGCTAGAAAAGGTGGAGAGCAGTAGCAAGAGTGGAAGACCTCATGTCAGATGGATAGAATCAGTCAAGGAGGCCATACCCTGAGCTTGCAGAACCTGAGCAGAACGGTTGAGGAAAGGGGAGTCTTGGAGGTGTCTCATTCATGGGGTTGCCATGAGTCAAAGTAAACCTAAAGGAACTTGAAAACAACAGGATCTTAGTAAGAATTCTAAAATAAGGACTCCAGGAAGGGATAGATTAGGAGGGTTAGAGTCCCAAAGAGCAAGCAAATACACAAACAGTCCAATAAAAAGAAGTTATCTGCCAAGACACAAAAGAGTGCTTCACACCAGCCATTCCAAGTCCTCTTTTTACCTGAACAACTTGTCTGGCTTTCCCATTTGTAGAGCGGCTCATCTCCTGGCCCCCTCTAAGTCCCCCTTGGCTTACATCTCTCTTGGGGGCCCTCCGGATTCAGCAGCCAAGAAAACGTTCAGTCCAGTTATTGCAGAAGTCCTTGTTTCCAGTCCTTCATCCCTCTTGCAACTCAAACCCTGCAGCCCTTCTCCTGTCTTTTGCCTTCTGCCTTCTGCCTTCTGCTTCCCTCTCTTCACAGTTAGTCAGTGGTCTTTTATTGGCATGGAGGTAACTCTAAGTCTTTCTTTGCCCTGACCTTTCCTTGCCTTGCAGGGGCTTTAATTGAGGTTCTCCTTCCTTCCTGAGGTCAGGAGATGGGAACAAGCAAGGCGTTGCCTCTGGTGAGTCCTACTTTTCCACACTGGTCAATGGAAAGACTCCACTGGAGTCTCCAAGACATTGGAGTTTGGGTGAGGCTGGGCCTCACCAAAATACTCCAAGATCAACTCTGCAGCCCCTATCATGGCATGGAGGTGACCCTAAGTCTTTCAAATGTTATGCCAGATTTTGAGTAAAAGCTCAGGCAAGTTCATCAAGATGATACAGCTTCAAGGATAGCCTCATTGGTGACCTGTATGTTTGCTGTTTGAAGACCAGTCTAGATAAGTACAGAGATGGTCATTTGCCAGATGGTTGGTAGCCAGATGACAAATTGGCCACGGCAACAATGAATATGATGGAAGCGTTGCAATTGGCTTGATGGTGGCATCCCCTGAATTAAGTTGATCTGTAAAGTCCAGAAAGTGGCCTAAATGCATTACTAAATGCATTACTAAACACATTCCTATATATAGATAGGAAGAACCAGTGTGTTGGACAAGGACTTCTGATCTGAGTGTTGGATTAGGATTTCTTGATAGCAGGGTTTGAATCCCTGCTCAGCTATAGAAAACCACTGAGTGCCCTTCAACAAGTCACACTCTCTGAGCCTTGGAGGAATGAATCTTGCTAAGAAAACCTTATAATAGAGTTGTCATAAGTCAAAGTCAGCTTGAAGGCACAGAGCAGCAACTTGTTAAGAAGCACTTTGCTCTTTGCCAGGCCTTTTTCAAAAACAAAATTCGTTCAGCGTGGACAAAAACACAGATGCTTAAAGGCATGGGCAGGCGCTGCGTTTTATTTGCTTTGCAGCCTATGAAGTTGAATTTCCTGATGATATTTTTTTTAAAAAAAAACATAGCATGAAAAGATAAAAAAAAAGACAAAAAAAATTCTGGCCCTTGGATTAAGCTCATCTTAACCTTGTTAGGAACGTGCACTTATTAATTCATTTATGTGGCTATAAATAAGAGTGAGATAAGTATATTCCAGCCTGATTCCCACGATATCTGGTTGCTCTTCCCTGC